AAAGGAAGATGCGGAGAGATTAAATAGGCGTATCCAATGGCAAATCGATAATCAAGCGAGAGGACTTCACTTTGTTAAGCTTCAAGAAGACACGCTACAGCTTATCGCATTCGTTGACGCATCATTTGCAAGAAATCGTGATTCAAGCAGCCAGATCGGATATATCATCACTATGGCTAATGGATATAGACAAAACCAGGTCATTAATGCCAATATCCTACACTGGTCATCCATCAAATGTCATAGAGTCACTAGGAGTGTGCTCGCCGCCGAGCTATATGCCACATCACACAGAGTAGATATCGCTTTCGCAGTCAACCAAACCTTAAATAAAATCCTGCGTGCGGTGGAGCATTTACCCAGAATTCCCCTGACACTCTGTACAGACTCACGCTCAGTATATGATGTAGTCACACGTCTCGGGACTACACAAGAAAAACGACTTATGATCGACATCATGGCACTACGTCAAACATATGAACGACGCCAGATGGAGCTCAAGTGGATCGCAGGAGGATCAAATCCTGCCGATGCGATGACGAAGGAGAAGTGTGGAAACGCACTGAAGGAGTTGATTGATACAAATCAGATCGACTTAGAGACTCTTGGTTGGGTCGAACGTTAAGTTTTTCCTACTACAACTTTTACGAATTACGGCCTACATGATATTTATGCACCCAAATTGGTACAATTGGCATCGCGTTCTGCACGAAATGATGAAGCTTGTTTCTCTATTTTTAATGACATTTAGAGTTACTCCAGTATTGCGACGGCCGAGAAACAAGGCCATCAACAGACGGAAAGTATTTCGGCCGAAAAAGCTTCTGCCGAGACAGCGACTCCGGAACTGGATTAGTATATCACGGCATCCTTGAACGATATGCATTCATCGCAAACGACACCCTTGAGCGATGTGCATTCGCGACAGTAATGTCCCGTCTTCACCGTCTCTTCTGTCTCGGACGAATGTTGACATTCGTCCAGAGCAGAGGGGCACCCATATACTATAAGTAGCTAGTTCTTTCATCAATGAAAAAGCAGACTTCACAACAACCACAATATTCAGTACTGTAGAGACCACTACACTTGGTGGTTTGTCTACGGTGTTGAGTAGTGGTTCGTTGGAGCTCACCGTTCTCAGTCAAGATATTCGAATATCGCCAAGCGAGCGACAAGAAGTTTTTGTTTTCTCCTTTTTCGAGTCTCGAAGAACCTCTATATGTGCCATATATAGAAGAGGGAGATGAAAACTAGACTGGTATCCTGAAAATGGCATCTATAGCTATATATGCTGACCAGCATGAATTTTCAATTACGTAGGAGCCATGACTTCCAGCCATAAAAGTTGATCAGATGATCTCGCTCGAGCTTGACGCTGGATATTCTTCCATGAGCGATGTTTCTATATCTGTTGGATTAGGAGAACACCACTCCATATGATCCAACAACCGACACTACTGATCATAGCCTATAGATAGGCCGAGTGGCTCTGCTGTAGGTGGAATACCAATAGTAAAATTCTAATAGCCCTAAATAAATAATGGATTTTCAGCATCAGTTATGGATGGCGCCGAAAGATCATAGAAATGGTTGTCGGAAATATTGCTAGTAAACTAACGGCAGCCTAGATTGAAACTATGAGTGGTTTAGATCCTGATGCAAGACCTGATACAAGACTTTAGCAACTTACCACAATTGCTGCTAAAATGGATTCAGAGATTGGAATAGCTATATAGCCGAGTCTGGTCAAAATCGTGCTATATAATAGGCAGTGAAACAGACAAATCCTGCCTATCCATCGATAGGACCATTCAATGTTATCCCGATGAACCTTGTAGATATGAGATATTAGACTAAAGGTGAAGCCTAAGCATAGGGGAATGAGATGGATCATAGCGAGACAGCCGGCTCTTTTCTGCACTTCAGCTATTAAATTAGCTGAGAAGCATAGTGTGATGATATTTGCGATAAAGAAGACGACGACAATCGCCGCTTTCAAATATAAAGGGATGTCTAAAAGCCGTAATAGAGCTGGTATTGGAGCACGTATGATTCTTCTCCAAGGGAAGAGCTACGAGAGCTTCATCAACCCAACCAGACATAATTGTCCAAGACGACAAATGCACCATATGATTGCTAAGGCAGTAGTAGCAATACCATACTTTGCAGGAAGTGAGCTATCTAGAAGCTAAGTGGATATCTTAGATATTGCGGAAACCATGATGATATTTGCGTTTTAGTAGATTGAAATATAGTGATATACACACTATCGATTTTCAATAACCCTAATTCAGCGTCTCAAGGCGATTCTAAATAAATCTTCTTGAACCAAAAGTCTTCTAGTTTCAACGCTATCCTTGGTGACTCTTAGGTGAAAGATCGAGGGAAATAGTGATATGTTTCTTCTTCAGCGCTCTTAAACAGGAGAAGGCCATCCCTTACGACCCCTTCAAAACTAGCGATTTGAAAGCTTTTCAAAACCCCGAGCTCAGCACTTTTAAAGAGCCCTGTTTTCATCGCTTCTTCATAAAGCGTTCTCTTTGTCAGGTTTCTCATCTAAACACTTGTACTTTCCTAATTAGTCGCTCTCATTTGAACGTTTTTGTTAACAAATCTTCACTTAAGAGTTTTTTGGAACGAATATCAGCTGATATACCAAGATCATGTGATCTTGGCATGGCAGCTACTATATCTTCTTTCATCTGAGCATTTTAGAATGACACTTCACTTTTACCCAATATGCATACACCTATTATATACGTACAGAAACGATATCAATAGCTGTCTGCTTCGGTAATAACCTAGTCAACCGACAGTATTGATCTAACTTGAATATGAAATACACCCCGGCCCTAACGAAAGCCGAGGAACAAGCTCGCCATACTCGGGAGTGGAAGCTTATACTAAGAAGTTGCATCTAAGTGGCGTCGCAGGACGGGGCGCTTTTTACAAGATCATCCTTAATCTCGCGTTGCCTTTCCCTATGTCTATAGTCTATGACTTAGATATGTGATTCAGACTCGCCTCAACAAGGCGGCATATCCCATACTTCACGTAGCTAGAGATGGATGCACGAAATATGCCTGCAATAAATCGTGTACATTGAGCTGGAAGGGTCGAGAGCACGTTGCAATTCAGCCTTGTTTTTGCGCGCATAAAACAGCATCACTTCTTTTGTGCTTTCAATTGTCAGACCCATTGAAATTCCCCACGTAAATTAGTAGAATATTCGTTCGTCTGTACTGTACAATCTAAATTTGTGGAAAATTATCTATATGAATAGAACAATTAGCAGTTGTACAGCATGGATCGAAATCTGTTTCGCCACTTTACCTCCTTCGATCCTTTCTTTCGAACTTTATTACTAAATACATTAATCTATTGGTGGACTAATTTTTTTCAAGTATCCAAAAATATCATAAGATATTATCGTATGATGATTGAGCCCGTAAATTATATGAATTTCCCATACAACGACAGTCGATAACTTATCGTTCGCTCGGCCCCTTAGCACTCTTTCATGATCACCTTGACACTCCCCACTAATTTTTTACCTTTTACCTTTTTCTCTCGTATCCTAAATTTATCTGTCTACTGATACTTAGTAAAGTGATCGAATATACTTATAGTTGCCGACATTCGCTGTATGCATATTCATCAGTATTCACTAACCACCCCCATGGGTAAATATGATTTGTCGAATCAGTACCCCTACCTACTCCCAAACTGAGGGCTTTACGCACATATGTCAAAGGTCCATGGCTATCAAGACTTTCGGATGCTCGCAGAAAATATAGTGAAACAACTCACCTGGGGCAATCAAGATCCTCTTCCTTTCATCACTTATACAAGGCGTCTTTTTGAGCCTTGTATCTTCAGATTAGAGAGGATTTGGCCAGTGGCATGAAACTGAAGCCTCAAGAAAAGGCACAACGACATGTTAAAGCTAAATATTTGTGCCTTCATAATATCCCCGCAGCTGCTATTGTTGAACACTTGCCTACCCACGAGCTCCAGATGGGTATGACTACCAAGGTCCTCTTAAAGACAGTTTCCATCCCATTGGGGGTAATTTTATTAAGATTAGGGTATCCACTTCATGTGTGGGGCGGATTAAAAATTTGACATCACTCACATGGATTAAAATTAGCTTCCCGCGGGGTAATCCCGCTAAAAAAAAAGATCAACGTATAAATGAATAGCGCATCTCTCATCATACACTATTTTAGGTCAATCCAATCCGATATCAAGTAAAATTTTTGATGGTGTAGAGATAGAATATAATTTCAATTTTGGGGTAGATAGTTTTAGTTAACAATTTTTGAGGAGATTGTATCAATTCCCTATTTTAAGTCTAGAAGAGATTCCATTGAACTTGGGATTTAAATTCTATTCATATTCTCATTACCTAAATACCCTCTTAAGGCTGACAATGGCACTCAGGATCGGTGAAACGCAGGCCTAGACTGCTTGGCGGTGCTGGAAATCCAGCAGGAAGGATTTAGAGAGGCAAAATCGGCACGCACATTGGAAAACATGGGTTGACTTACCTGTATAAACATTGACTGAAATGTTCAAAGTCAACTTGATCAGGTGGTATGATCTTTCTGAGTAGTGCATATGATGAACTTTGGTTAAAGTGATTAAAGTACGTCAATAAAATTTATATCAGTTAACTACCTGTGACACAAGGCTACATAGGTAAGCTGTTAAACCTTTAAACACTATATCCGAGACGACTACGGGTCTAAAGTAGCTTTCGGGAAACCAATAGCATACAGTATACTACTGTGCGAAGGAAACAATCCCGAGGACAGTAGATTTAGAATACATGGAAGAATGAACAGGACTGCAGTAGAACTTCCACAGCCCCAACAGGAATAGCAAAATCTAATCCTTAAAATATAGCCTTGTGAGAATGGGACTTCCAAAATTAGAGTCTTGTTATGTATATTTAAACTTGCTCCCTACTGCTTTCCATGTAGTTCCTTGTCATCAAAATGCATCTGCCTTCTCTTCTAGCTGGGATATCCATCCTAGGATATGTCACCGCAGCTCCGGTACTTTCTGAGCTTCATGAACGAGGTCCTCCAGGTGGATATTATGATATACCCTCAAGTTCAGACGAAGAATGTATGCAACCATACGAACCAGTTGATTGGAAAGATCCCGTGAGCCAGAGGCCATGGGACGTTGCATGCGTACGTATATGACATATTCTTGTCCATATTTCAAATAAGATCTTTTGGAATGACTAATGTTTTATAAACTATGCAGGCCAACTGCATCACCCAATGCGCGAGACGAATTACAGGATTACAAGGTTTTGTGCTCGGCGTGACAGTCTTGACAATCCCACAATACCATCAAGTCAACTTGTACGTATATAATCACTTTTTACCTTCAAACTTTCAGTCAAGTGCTACTGAGAATCGGACTTAACTAATTTTTCCGATACTATCATAGGTGTGGAGTTCAATGCGTTGGTTCGGAAAGTGACAAAGGCCCTTGTTATGGAGGAGCCTCAATTGGTAACTTAAGATCACAGGCGGCAGTCATAACGTATTGGTTAAAAGCAGGAAAGAATGCTCAGGGTAAAAAACTGGTACCTGGTGTCGGTGCATCTTCGCAGAATGAAACCCCAGCATCAGGCTGAGGTATCCAAAATTCTATTACCACTTGAGCAATCTACATGTTATGGCATTTGAAAATTGAGAGTGTGTTGCTATCACTCTTTGGACACCATACATGAGCGGGCAGTTAGCAGACATTGCCTAGGTATTGAGAATCCCATCCACCTTTACCATTCACATACGATATCTACTGTAGTGGAGATTGTGTATTTAAGCATTCAGTTGAGAGATTAGACCATCAGACTACCTTTACCTTCTTGAGCTACCCCTTGGTTCTCCTTCCTTTCTCACACACAGCCCCTAGAGGACGGACTCTGACTGCATCTACCATACTCCATGATTTAGCTAGGTTCGTAGACTAGCTAGGACGTCCCTGTTTCTCGTATCACTAGGTATTTAAGATTGACGTGATAAGCCATATGTGACCCAATACATCTCCATATTCCATATATATTCTGGACATATAATTTCATTCATTTGAGTAGTGAGATTTAGTAAGAATTTTGCTTAATCTGCTACGAAGCTCCTAAGACCTAGAAAGGACTTCATTGAAGTGCTTTAGACAGATTTACACCAAGGCTTCTAAACTTACTCCATACTTATGTTGACCAGAAAAGTTATTTTCACAATACGATGGCGAATTGTAAATTGCCTTGCCATTTTTCTCAATAGCCTATGACCCAAGGTAGCATCAAAGCTGATAAATCTCGAAACGTGGCAGTGAGAAATTGTTCTCGGGTAGTCTTAGACCCCGGGATATTCCAATATTGGTATTGGGCAAAGTTGGCATGCCCATCTGGGCTCGCTTGGAGTTTTAACCCAGCTGACCTGACCCAGTGCCTACGTATATCTGCGAATCGAGACCATAACTATAAATGTTGAAAGATTCAAAGAGAGTAGAAGATGGATTGACGTATGGATTGTTATTCTCATCGGAAGGGGATGGAGAGAAGAGAAAGGAAGCTTCTTTCTCTATTTTCAAAGTTCCTCCGTTATTATGCCATAACCTACATCATGAGGTAAGGGATGGGACCCAGGAAAGCCCCACTACGGGAAGGAAAAATGCTACGTATAACCTACGTAATATAATGGATAGAGCGGCTTACTATCAAAGAGCAGGATATATGGAAGGATGGATAGTACAATTTATGATATCAATTTTAGGCTAAGCATTCTGGTTCAAAAGCCGTCACCAAGCTCAATGGATTTCTGCAAGAGCCCTCAAGATTTCAAATTGGATTGATAATTAATCACCGTGGTATTTCACTGCTGAGTGACCATATGCCTAGGGATCGGCTTCATCTCATAGCTAGAAGAAGGTCTCAAAGCGGAGTACATCAAATTGAAAACAAGAAGGGAGTAGTGAAACAGAAAGGAAGCGTGGTCTTTACTGAGGAAGACCCAGCACTCCCCCACTCTTTAGCTCGATGGCGCGTCGCACATCGGACATGCAGGTGGCAATGCCAGCCACATAGCGACCAGTGGAGTAGCCAGCATACAACAGTCCAGTGACCACACCATCTTGATTGAGTACAAAAGATCCGGAGTCTCCCTCATTAGCAAAGTCCTCTGCCCTCATGTTGGGTACAGCTAACTTTTTACTGATGATCAAGAATTCTTCAGTGACATCCAACACAGAGTTTCCGTGCTGGTCATACCTGGCCTTGCTGGTAGTTTTCCAGTTGTAAATTCCTTTTGTTCCATTCACAACTCCAGCGGAGAGTCCAGTCGATCGGCCAAGCTTTACTCCGTAGTCTCCCAACTTCAGAGAGCCAAATTCTGTTATGGGAAAGCCAGCTGGGACAGTATATGGCTGATTACGAATGTAGCTGCTTGCTTGATGACTTCCTGGGATTTCGAACATCAGGTTAGGCTTGAAATGCTTGGCCTCTGCCTTCGGTGACAGCTCAACAAAGGCCCAGTCCAACAACTTGCCGTTCTGAAGTGATTTACCAGACGCCAGGAGCACCACTCCTAGGAGCTCTGGCATTTTTTGAACAATGTCTTTTTGGTCCGAGAGCACACGGAGAGTATCCCGGGCGTTACCAATCAAATCCAGGAGTGCAGCTGGCGGCATTTTGCCGCTCATGTGGTATTGGTCTTCTCTGGTAGCCAAATCATTATGCCGTGAATTCCATTCTGCTAGACTGCAATCGATATCCGATAGGGTTGCATCGCGATCGGATTGGGAAAATGCTTCTATGGGGATCTCGCGGGCTGGTGGAGATGCGACAGATAAACCAAATTGATCCAGTTGGGATCCGTCTCGTTCGTTATGTGGTCTTATGACATGATAATTCGTCAGGAAACCATGATGTGTCTTTTCGCTTCGAGTAAGAGTCACGAAACCACCTAGCGTCCCGACATTGCCACCTTGGTGAACACCGATTGAGTCGCCCATTTCAAGGGTAGGATGAAATCTTCTCATGAAAGACTCTCCAACCAAAGGCTTTAATTCACCTGGAGCGAATTCAACATCAACGCGACCTCCAGCAAATGCCCTGAGCTGATATATTATCCGATAACGGAGTGTTGTCCAGTCCGCCTTTGCCCACGGCTTCACAAGTACAACAAGCATGGAGCGCGCCTCGGCATCGTGTCGTTGGATAAACAACGGAACAATGAACTGCCAATCATTTGGAATTGCATTTTTAACCAGCTCGTAGATAGCAAACTTTTCTCGCTCATAAACTTCAACAAGAGGATCGCCTGGAAGAAGACAGGAAAGTACTGGTGGAAGTGACAACTCGATAAAGGCGACTTCAACCTCAATATCATAAATGTCATGCTGATGCAGAATCTGCTGAATAGCATCTTTCAACGGTCCAAGACGTATGAGAGGAGATCCATCCTCTTTAGCAGGCATACGCACGTGCAGTAAATTGAATGTATCGTTGCCCCCAGTGTATTCCGGCTTTGATGCTTTACCAACAATGAAATATGGGCCAAGCCCGAAATTGTGAAGGACAGCATGGATTTCATCGTGGAAGGATTGAGTGGGGTCTTCGTGAATAGCAAATGGTTCGATAGTGAGTGGAAGAGGTGGTGCAAACATGAGTGTAGTGGATCTATAGGGATCGCATGCATTGAGATAAGACTCGATCAGCATCTCACCCTCTGCATCATCTGATGCACGCAGAAAGCGGCGCCGCTGCCCGGGCGAGTCGGGAGGGCTAATCAGCTGGCGAGGAGATGGCGGCCGACGAGACATTTTCTTAGATAACAAATGGGAAGTTTTTCAGTCGAAAAGAATAGAGGGTGGAGGATTGAAATAGAAACAGAGGGAAGTTTCAACTTCTCAGTTGAAGAAAGAACGGAGGAACCGAGAATAGGGAGGCCCAACTTCAAAGTTAAAGGAGGATAGAGAGTTGAAAGTTGAGACAGGAACAGAGGATGTGAAGCGATGCAAGTACTTATATAATTCTATACGATAGTGAACATTGAATTTAGTCGCCATCTCATAGTATGCTTAATTAGGTCTAGTGTCTATTTTGCCAAGGTGGTTACAATGATCATATACATACCACCACAACATACCTTAATAGGCATAGGTCACTATTACTTCAGGTTTTTATCAGCACTGCGCTCAACCAGGTATTTCGAGACTATTATACACTCAAGGTCTATCGCCCACCTCTCATTCGCTTATTATCCCAACTAGGCAGTCTGTTCCAATGCATCCTTGTCGCGCAAAGCTAAAGCGGCGCTCAACTATTTCTCACCTAGGCGACACCACATGACTGCTGAGAACAGCTTTACAAGCCACCTTCTTGAAAAGCCTTTCACATACGACCACAGGGTGTGGAGAACAGGGCTTCCCGTCCGCTCAGCCGTACTTAAGCCACACGCCGGTCAGTTAGTAGTATGGTGGGTGACCACATGCGAATCCTGACTGTTGTATGTTTTCGTTTTTTTGCTACTCTACACACGGCATAGTCTATGCAGTATGCACCTTTGCCCACGGCTTCACAAGTAAGCAAGCATGGAACACCGGCACGTTAGAAGATAAAGGGCTCTCTCTCTTTCCACCATGCAAAATCCATGTATCCCTCTTCTGCAGTACGTAGCATTTGTATTTTCATTTTTCGTAACACAAGCTAAGGCCAGAGAAAAAACAGACAACAGGAGCAGTTTAAACTAGCGCAATCGTTTAAGACACAAGGCAAGGCAACAGTAGGTCGAAAGAGAGATGCATTGATTTGTAGAGAGAGAGAGAGAGAGAGAGAGATTAGTTTCTGGGGTAATTGACGGGAAAACAGGCCTATTGAGACAGTCCAAAATCTCAATGGAGAAGCAGTCGGCGGCAAAAACTGCTCGCCAGAGTTTGCTGTCGGATATTTCTATGAGGTCAGCATAATACCTATTTGGCTATTCTAGCGACCTTGAAGACTGAGTATGGTGCATCCACATCTGGTCCACTCCGCGGACTTCCATATGCTGTAAATAGGCAGATTCATGGGCCCGGATCGCAATGACTCCGGCGTTTTATCAAACCAATCCAAAGACCTCGATAATTGTATGTCTGCTGTCCTTCATCGGGGATCAGAACATAGTCACCATTTTTAACATCAAGGTCCTTGTAATTTCGGTTAACTGCCTGTTGGCAATCTGTTCTCTGCAATGCCAACCATCTTGCCAGTACTCAAACGAGATGACCGGGACTTCCATCTCACGGTAGTGGTGAGCGAGTAGAGTGGCCAGGATGGTTTTTTCAGAAGCAGGCGTGCCTCTCACATGTATGACTCGATTCTTGTAGAGCATTTGTGTGAAATCTGTAACAGTGTGTTCCCGTCGGCAATCAAGTGCGGTGGGTTCTAGAATCGTTCACGTCAGAGATCAAGATTACATAGAGGAAAGAAAGGACAAACCATCCATGTCGAAAGGAATCTGACGACTGCATGGACTGGGGAGTCAAGAGAAGCTTTTCGAGAGAGCCTCCATATTGCGAAGAAATATGAGAAATGGGTATTACTCAGTTGGAAGGTGTTCAGTTAGAAGGAGCGGAAGACTCGACTCCAATTAATATTGTCCCAAGCATAGCGCTTTATCGGGATTGATCCACTATTGGAGCATTGGCTCACCATCTAAACCAATTGGATTTAGCTGAGCCTAGTTACCCCAGACTTCCCTCACGCTGTACTGTTCAGTATCCAGTCTTTGTCCGGTGGCCTGGCTCTTTTAGAGTGGGCAGCTTTAGAGTGGGTCATACAAACAGAACAAACACAGGCCACTTTCGCGTGGGATTTGACACGTGATCATCCACGTGATCATCAACGTGACTACCAATGACGGTCATGTGACCCTATATGTGGAATGGGCCAAGCTTATCTCGGAGTTTCCCCATCCGCCTTGTAAACAGAAATCGTGGTACTTGTACTTGTTTCTCCGATACTAGTGTATGCAGTATTTATTTCTCGCTCACAATAGTAGTGCTGCAGACACTAGCAGAAATATCATAATATTCTATATTTTCACCTTAACAATGGTAGCACGTCCTAAGTCCAGAAATTTTCTCGTTCAAGACCCTTCTCAGAACTAGAACAGATTCGTAGTGGTAGAACCCTCGAATTTCAGTCTTCTCCGTGCAGATCAAATTTGTACCCAAACCGGATCAGATTTGACACCTTTTCCTACAAATCAGATTTGATACTATCTGTAACAGGTTGAATCCTGGTGAACTATCACGTGGTTGTACCACGTGACCCACCAACCGCATATCTCACGATTCCACCCCGAATTGTTACGTTCTTCAAGGATTTTGTAAACAGCATGTGCCTAGCTAGTTCTGAATTCAAGATTGGCTTTAACCCTTCACACTATCGTCTTGGCGATATCGGGTACCTTTTCGAAGCCCTCCCACGGTCCTGCATACCAGCTGTCACGACTACATTAGTCACGGCGTCTGGGTATAAATACCACGAATTTTCAAGTTACGGCTAGGCTAAAAAGCAGCTATTTCATCGTTCCGTTCACATTATCCAGGATATTGGATATTGACTTGATCATTACATTTAGTCTTTTACCTTCAGGTTTCGCGTCATGAGCCTCTATAGCTTACCGTGTGTGGTTCTATAAATCAAGATTTACTTCAGTCTCTCGCCGTTCAGATCGTGCTAGTTCTTGTTGAATTGATTGATTGTGGTGTGAGGCGAGACGACATTGTTGGAATAGTACCATTCATTACTAAGGGGTAAATATGGGGCAATTTGTTAGTTTGTATGTCCAAGATTACCATTTCGAAACCAATTAGCGAAGCATCTACTCCTTAGTATTAGAATAACCAAATTCATGGTACTTAATTGATGGGAATAAAATAAGAATTCATAAGTAGTAATTGTCCGTATTGCTAGGCACAGACAATGGCGTGCTTCGCCTTCAAATAACGCGCTTCTTATCGGGCGCTAGCAAACCCAACCCCGTCACATCCTCAACAGCCAAGATGGAAGGCACGATTCATCGCTTTCGTATCCACAGAGGTAATCCTGCAGAGTCAAAGGGCAGGATAAATTCGGATGTCACTAGCTCAAGTAGCCCCGCAGTTCGACGACCCTCCACTTTGCCGGCATGTCGCCGATGTCGTCAACAAAAGAAAAGGTGCACCCGCACCGCAGAGGGGCCTTGCAAGCCGTGCCTCCAGGCTTGGCTTCCATGCTCCTTGATGGAAAGATCTGCAAGTCCGCAGACGCGAGAGCGAGAATTGCGCTCGCGGATTGACTGGCTCAGTCAGCTCGTTAATCAGACTTTGCCAGTTGGTGAGTCGCGGATAGAGTCGGTGGAGACCGGTAGAGATTTAGTATTGGGGACGAACAACACAACCTCACTCGGATCACCTATCGAAGAAACAGTTGATTCCGATAGAGACGATGAACCACGTGGTCGGAGGCTTTTGTCCAAAGACTACGAGGACGGGCCGGTCTGTGTCGCGTCGAGCCGAAAATGCTTGCAGGCCTATTTTCGGCATGTTCACCGTGCATATCCATTTGTAGACAGCGAAACAGTCTTACTGGACTTTGACTCTCTCTGTAGCGAAAAGGCGGAGAATGATTATCTTCCCTGCCACCTAGTACCGAGCCGCCTGCAAATGATTATGGCGATCGGCTTCACAACGCTTCAGCGTGCGGGGGAGGCGCAAGATATTGATAAGGAGGAGTCCTTTGACCCATGTCTGAAGATGATTCTTCACGAGTGCCTTTGTCGCATAGATGAGCAATCGGCAGGTACACTATTACTACTGGGTTTATACCTTCTGTTCAAGCCTGACGATATTGATCCTCGAGCCGTTGCGGGTGTTCTGACCCGCCATGCACTTGCGATCGGGCTCGTCAATGAGCACTCAAACAGTCAAACCCTGACAGCGCGTGCGCTAGAGCTACGACGTCGACTAAGCTGGTCTATATATGCATTCGATCGGATGATCAGCATTTCTTACGGCATTCCATTCAGCTTCTCCGACGACAGGATGCAAGTTCCATTGCCCAGCATTATGATTCACGAATATGCCTCTGAAGAGGGACATCAATACACGATCGCGCTGCAGGTCAGCCGACACATTATTGCATTGCGCCAGCTCGAGACTCGCATTATAAACGCTATATATGATTTTGGCGGTTCGGTGCGTCACAAGGGTCTCCGACGCGAAATTGAGGACTGGTACACACAGGGATGTCTTCTTTCAAGCTCGGCCATGTGGGATCAAGACCAGCTTCCGTTTCACACCACTATCACCTGGCTCAATGTTCGCTATCAAAATCTGCTTTTGTTGCTTTACAGCCCTACTCAAGGGGGTCTTCCGGTGGAGAGTCACTTGTCAACACTACAAGGGGCAGCACAGCAGTACATCCAGCTAAGTTTGATCCTGCACGAGCATCGCCATTTACCCATGAACTGGATCAATCTTTGTCGTCTTTTGTCTCTTACAGCAACTTTCTTTTACTGCGTGACAAGTTGGTCAACCCCTCCTTTGCAAGAGATCCCCGAGATCGGGTTCTTGGCTTCTTTGCTCGACTGCTTCCCATCCGCGTGGAAAGCAGCTCATGAGGGATCTCAAATTGCGCAACGCTTGGCAGACATTGTTGTGAAACAAACTGCTTCTGCGATTCCTCTTAGCCAATCGCCTGAATCTGTAATAGGAGGCAGCTTAGATACCGAGGGATTACAGTCGATTCAGGATGATCTAGAAGCGCTACTGAGCAGAACGCTCGGAGAGGCAAGCTTTTACGTCTGGCCGTTGAGGTCGAAGGTGGCAGAGAGATGTGCTTCACACCAAATTGCTGCTATGAATAGTATTAATGCTGCACTAGATGGTGGACTTCTCGAGGCTAGGGTTGGGTTCCCGGATAATGGCACCCTTGCGCCAGCGCCAGAGGAAGGAGTTCAAACGGTTACTCCACTGGAGGCGGCACAATGGGTCAATATCCTAGGTGGTCTGGGATCCGATATGCTTTGATCCAGGCCCGTCATTCAAAACATTGACATTACAAATTTGCCGTCTGTTTCTTATTGTTCTGGTAATCGAAACCAAGATCCTCAAGGGTTCTGACCTCACTCCGCCTGCTCCCCAGTGCTAGTGACGCACTCTTAATTAATGGGAACTGCTCACGAACCCACTTCTGCTTCTCGTCCCAGAAAGGCGGCCTCTTCCCGCGTCCATCATTTTCCAGGCCTTCCTTAAGCACGGCCTGTGAACTCAACTCGCTCAGTGAATTGATGTATTCTGCGTCAAGAGGGAAAGACAGGGTACTGAATCCCTTGCCACTGCCTCGAATTGCAGTCCATTCTTCAATCCATTGTTCCATTTCAGAACGAGGAGGCAGAGTCACTCGTCCAGAGAAGACGCGCGCGACCCATGCGCCCTGAGCTTGACTTAGTGGAAATGGAACAACGCGCTGTGGGAATCCGATCAGAGCTAGTGTAGGCTCTGGGGTATACAGAAGATGTCTATACAAATGATGCGGTCGCACACCATCTGTTACGATGGCTGGCTGGAGGCTTGACAAGAAAGGGAGAGAACAATGATATCCAGTGCAGAAAAGAATGTGGTCGATATCAAACTCTTCAAGGCCGTTGGTGAACTGCACACGAGCATTTTCAGCATCGAGCAGGCGGATTTCAGGAAGATCCTTGGCGAATTTAAGCTGTTCTGGAGATAAAGTTGACGGTGTTCGCTCAGATATTAAGACTGGGCCTTTTGATACCTTGCTTATTTGCAAGGCGATGTCGATTCCAGATGCTGAGTTTCCAACAACAATGACTTTCTGTATCGCCTTGTGAGTATTGTACTTGACTTGAGCTTGAAAGATGCTGAACGTACCTTTCCAGCAAAATCACCGGGGCGACGATAGGTTGACGAGTGAGTGATTGAGCCTGGATACTTTTCCTTCCACTCATCGAGACCTGGAAGGGCAGGAAGATAAGGGTCATTATAGTGTCCATTCGCAACAACAACAGCATCAAAGAATGCATTTTCATCTAAGCCAGACTCCAGATTTCGCCATGTCACTTTCCATTTCTTCTTAGGCTCATTTACCAGAGATACATCCAAAACAGTGGATCGGAACCGAGTAAATGGCCGCAGCTCCTCCGCATATTCATGCAAGTAGTCCTTCACATCCGCATGTGCTGGAAACAAGGCTTTCTCCTCCGGAAAAGCAAACTCGGTGAATTGCATCAAGGACTTTGGAATATTTGTTTCCAGTGAGTCGTACACAGGTGAAATAAATTTTCCGTTAGATGGCTGTTGCGGTTCCTGACTCGGTGTTGGGCGGGGAATCTCCAGTGTATTAGTGACGCCTTCATCTCCAGTATAATTCCACAAGCCGCCAGGCACATCGCGCTGTTCGAATATGGTTATATTTGAGAATTTCCTCTCAGCGATGAGGTATCTAGCCGATGTCAGCCCTATCACAGGTCTATAAGCAGAATACATAGAAAGAAAAAAACATACTTGGCTGCTCCGATACCGCAAGGCCCGGCTCCGATAACAGCAACGCGATCAACATCCATCTTGAAGAACTGTGTATGAGTCTACTTTAAAGCCACTTTTTTTTAGAAATGAGATTATGGGCCACCGTTTCTATTTAAGTGAACTGATTTACTCGAACTCCCCGCAGTGGGATGATCTTGGATCCACTTACGGTCATTTCTATTGGAGCGGCTGCCGGTCGGCGTTGCATGTCGTGCTTTCGGTCCCAAATGGGAGAAATATTCGGGGAATCGCCGATGATTTGATCCTTGGGTTCAATGTGGATTCTGGAATCTTTGGAATTTTTGGAATTTTTGGAATCCCCGAAATAGCCCCATATTAATATCGAGGCTCGGCTTGGTTCCTGACTTGATTTCCTCAGGCTCAACTGCGAATCAGCCGGCTGCTAGCAGCTACTCGGCTTCAACGTGCATTACAGACGAGTTCGAACGAGTATATTCGCTACTCCCTGGATTCCTGTATTTCATAGCGTCGAGGCTGAAAATGAAGATCAGGCTGGCTATAAATCTGTGAGGAGCAGTGTAAATCAAGGGGATAGATAGTGAGCTTAGAGGAGAATTGAGCCGCTGCGACTGGACTTGTATTAGTAGAATCCCGCGTCAAGTCCTCTAACTTGATCACCGTCGACAACTACACATACAAACATAGCACCGGAGATTGATTCGACCCAAATGAAACATAATATATAAAACAATTCACGATGTCTACAAGCATTGCACCCTCCAACGCCTCTATGCGGCTTGGTCGAGGCTAAATTCCTTGCAGACTTCGTGTTTGGATGACATCGAACAGGACCCGGCAGAAGAACACTCAGAAGGCTCAGAAGCTAGCTTTGATGACTAGCCGCAGATGGTGATCTAATACATGGGAGTGATGGATCGAATATCGGATATAGGTATCTCCACTAAGTCAGTGATCAATCGACACTATAGATGTGGTCAAGTTTGCAGAGAGCAATTTGAATTCGTGGTTTCTGTAAATGAATTCCCGTGGCTATATCAGGTGCTTATCATTTGGTTAACTTGATGTTCCCAACTGATAGGTCATCAACCGCAAGTGATAGCCTTAACCCCCCTAACAGGCCTGATGAGGTGGCTAATAGTGAAATGAAGAGCAACAAGAACTTCGTGAGTGTGCGATCTTGTAATGGACTTTTTTTATTCGCGTCCTCGATGCGTCGCGTCGGGATGCTGTGATTTCCGGGTTGGGTTTTATCACATTCTCAGTGAAGCTGAACTGACTTGGTATCACTCAAAACCTGAAATATTGCCTGAATACGAGTTTCGAAGGGTCACAAAGAGACAATAACAAGGTCAACGATCTCATCAGAGACTGACGTTACAGCTACATGAACTGGTAGTGAGTACATCAAGCGTGGTATGTGCCAGGAGTGATAAAGGCGGATCTAGACGTTTCTAACTCATTGCCAGACCATAATGAATGGAACTTCGCAACACTCATGCGGGCTACAAACGGCTTTTCTGACCAGGTGACGAAAGTTTCTGGCAGGACCGGTGCTATCTTGAGTCGCTACGACGAGCTGAGCACCTTCGTCGAATGGGCCAATTTATGATTCAAATAAATACACTGCGTCGACTGGGTAGAATGCCATACCCGTGGCAATCAAGGTGCTCAGATTTAAAAGAACAAACTCAAGTGTGAGATGAATCTCATTGTTAAGGAGACTAGAGAACTGTGAGATTACTGTTGAGCTATTGCCATTGCACATACTGAGAGATGCTGTAATAATTGATTACTCAGTAATACGAACCCAGAGCAAGCCAGCCAGATCAATCTCTAATGTAGAGTGATAGCATCGGAAATATGGCGTGTTAGACTGCCTATAAGTCACCTGGGCACGGGAAAGAGTTAGATATTCATTCAATCACTCATACAACCTGCAGGATTATATATATAGAGGTATTGAAAACTGGAGACATACAGCTCCTCGGCTTTGTAGCAAGAAATGTGGAAGCTCTACTGGCTGCCAATGTACCGACCGACCGTTAGTCTTCACGAGGGTTTTATGAAACGAACAGTAATCGCTCTTTGCCTACCTCATAAACGCATTTCCATTGCTCAATCCATGGATACATTACAGAGTTGAACAGTGGCCAAAGTTCTTGAAAACTTCTTTGGATGCAACAATTAATACTTACAGGATCCTGGACCATGGGACATGGACCCTTGTAACTGTATACTCTGTTCCTGATAGCTTTACGGAATTGAAAGGCATATATAATGGGGATAAAGGCTTTCTCCTAGGTAGAATTGAACCTTCTGATACTAAGATTGTACTTCTCTGATCTTTATTTCTTATTCTTAAAGGTATTTACAATCAGGTCTTCCTGATACTGTTAATATGTATTTCTTTTATTCACTTTCTACCTATCTTAATACATCTATTCGAGGCACGAACCTCGGGGGCATGTCTAATAGCGTGTTTGAGGATACCGGTGAAGGTCAGCAGCATCTCAATTGGGGTATATCAACCCATGTTTGTGCCAACCATCCATAACTGCAAACAAGAAAAAGATCTACAGAGAAGATTAGCATGGCCCCTGCATATAAGGATGACACGCTCAATCAAAGAGAAGCAACTCTTTTTTTTTTGTTAACAGGCTGAAATGAAGAAGTTGCCGTTTTTGTAAAAGATAGAGGTTCGGCGTACAAGTCGTCGTTCTCGCATTGGATTTGACCGCTTTTTTTTCTCCGGCCGCACTAGGTCAGAATTAATTCAAGTACAGATCCGATATCACAACCTTTATAAAATCACGGATCACAGAAATTGCAATTTTATAGGTATACGGAGTATTGTATTCCTTGTTGTCCGCTGTGTATACTAAGGCTATCTCCACCTTACTAGCCAATCTAGACGCTCCATGTCGGAGTATGGGTGGCTTAGATGTCTTGTGCTGGATTTGATATGGGTTATGTAACGATGAGAGAACCCGTGGACCTTGTGATATATCCCACGTTCCTAGTGCCGCTTGATCTCGGCCATCTTGCCAGATTAATATAGGAATTTCGGAAAATTTTTACCTTACCGAGGTACATAAATGCAACCTTGGAATGTTTTGCGATTGACTATCTAATGTATGTTCTGCCATTCTGTTGTTATCCATGAGATCTCGGGTACTATCGAAGTGAATCCCAGTCCAAACAGAATCATTTTCATGAATATGAAATTTACCCCACACCACCATAGTTTAATTCTAAAATAGATATCAATCTTAGGAGAGGCGTATCCATGAATATTGATAGCCTATAAAATAGAGAAATAGACCAGAAAGACTAGCAGAATTTGCCGCTTGCTTTCCCGGGGAAACCCTTCTAAGATTAATAATCACCCGATGAACCCCAATGCCTCCATCGAGGGCATCAGAAGCAAAGCTAATGCGCCGAACCTTCTTATATAGTGTCAGGAAATGCATAAGCACCAGAAGTGCAAAAGATGGTCAAAAATCGACGTGGATATCAAACTGGCCATCCTTGGTCGAAAAGTATTTGCCAGATGAGAACAGCGCGATCACCTGCTTTGTCTCCTCGTCCACTAGTTTGAAGTTTTAAGAGCCACCACCCGTAGACGTCTCGTTTCAGGTCAATGTCTGACGAGTCTGAGCAAAGTTGATTCGGAATGAATAGCGTGTCTTGAGGACTCCCTCCCGTTCTAACTGTTTCCATTGCAATGGTGTGGGAACCGTTCGGGTCTCCGAGTCCTATATCCATGTCTGATGAGAGGTGATGGTATTGGCAAATACCAATGACTAGTGAGGTGTCCCTTGGACCAGCGTGAAATGCTAGGTCTAGTTTTCCGGTACCAATGTGAGTTGACAATGTGATATACGTGGATGTTGCCGACAACGATATCATGATCATGGTGACCGCGCTTGTAGGTGAGTTATTACATGAGTGAAAGGAAAAGGGATTCGTAGACCCCAAAACTGCCTTGTCATCTTGGCTAAGCCTCCCATACCTGCGATCTGGTATCCTTCATTCAGAATAAATTGAATAAATGCTGCTTCTTGTAAGCCTCATTGCCGACTCGGGTCCAGCTCCATACCCTTTGCAGACTCCACCCAATTATACCAGTCAATGTTTCCATCCAAATCCATATTGACATCCAACTCAACGTCTAAATTCCCAAATTCCTCTTCATTCATCAGCCAGGGGACAACATTTGAGTCGAAAAGCCGGTTGTCTAGGCCCAGTGTTGAGTCAACATTTTGTCCATGTTGTACCGGAAAATCATACTTTAGACCTGAATCCAAGGTTGCGAAAGTCAATTTAGAGAGATTTTGGTCGATAGAGCCTCCATATTCCAAATTAAGATTTGCCGAGTCGATATTGATGCCCATGTCTCTTTGCTCTACCTGCACCAACTCACGCCACCGTTGCAGGAAAAGCCTAGCGGAATCAGATCCCGCTGGAAAGGGTCCAGGACTCGTAGGCAGAGGTATTTTTCGATCCTGCTCTTCGAGCTGGGCTTGTGCACTAATATCACCCCTCAAACGAGCTAGCTCCGCCTCACGATGGCGTTTTGCCTGAGCCATCAGTTTCCGCAAAGGGAACCAGATGCGGAGGTTCTTATTAACATGGGATTGAGGCGGGATCAGCCAAATGCTGTGAAGAGCAATCCAGGCCCGTTCAACAATCGGAGACCAGGCACGTCGCGAAATCTCAATGAGGATGTAAACGATAGAGTACCAATGGGTGTATGTCTGGAAGATCCAGCGCCACTGACGACATGATTGCTCGGAATTCAACGCGTGGTTGTACTCGGCGACCTCGATCGCGGCGATCAACAGTTTGGTCCTGATCTCTGCTGCGAGGTGTTCCTTTGGCGAGGAGAAGAGCAAAGGCAAGTAGGCGAGTAGTGTCATTTTGGCCATGACAATCCGTCCAGAGGTAACAACAACCCAATATTCGATGCTCGACTCTGAGCCAGCTGAGTACCGGATATACTCGGTTTCGAGTCTCTCGTAGATTTCATTCACCAATTGACCTTGTTCCTCTAAGCTCAGCGCTTTGGAAGTTTGACTCAACATCCGCTTTGAAACGTTGCATATTTCCAAAAAGACACGGCAGAGTGTCATATCGGTTAAGCCGTCGCGAGAAGGGAGCATATCCTTGGTCTCTGGGTTGATATCTGCATTGTTTATGTTTGAGGGAATTTTCGTATCGTAACTTCCACTAGCGATTGTAAATTCAGTTCCTTGGTCTTCTGATGCTCTCGTATCTATTAGCACCAAGCAAGCCCAGGCTCTCCGTCGCATCTCAATTTCGAACGGAGTCAGATGGGCAAAATTGGATCCATCGCGATGTAAGCCTAGGGCCAGACCCATCCGAATCACTATACCTGTCATCATCCAGACGAATGTGGGACTGTCATGCCGACGCACGAGGAAAAGGAATATGGTCAGTGCCTGCACCAATACTAAGTTCGGCATGTTGAGAAAGTCCGCCTTGGCAAGAGCATGTTCGAGGCCGAGACGATACTTCAGATTCAGTTCGGCTTTTGTCGTGCCAAAATTGATGTTTATATCATCTTCTTCCATGGAAGTGACGGTGGCGTAGTATATGGAGAAGACCAAGGCTTCGTTGGCAGGGGTTAGTCGTGTCATATCGCCGCGAAGATCACGGATCATCTTCGTGACCGTCGGAAGATGGATGACTTGAGCATAAGCATTGACATTTGCTGCAAACACATCAAGAAGGAAAGGTATCTGGGAAGGCAGAGGATGATATTCCCGGAGATCCGAAGTAGAAGAGTGCAAGTTGTGCCGAAAGAGGAATGCATGTCGTTCGGAAGGCGATCTTTCAAGCTCCAAAGTAGATGGAGTGTTTTGAGAGGACATCGATGTCTCTTCTTCCGAAGAAGTAGAGTCCTCTACTAACTTTTCTCGAGTACTCATCTTTAATTGATCGATCTAGAAGGAGTTAGCTCGTAATCTAGTAGCGAGGCAGCACGAAGACCGACTTCGTCGTTGACCTTGGACCAAAATCCGGTACCAACATAGCGACTCTGATTGGACTCTTTAATGACTAGTCTACCAAACTGACTTTGAACGTCTGGACTTTGGGAATCTACAAGCCTATGCTTCGAGCTTTGGTCTTGCGAGGAGCTCCTAGGAGGCTGCGAAGAGAGAGCAGTGGGAGACTTCACAGAATTAGCCTGTTCCAGCTGGCCATTCAATTCCTTGACAAGATTCTCAAGGTGATGAAGTCTTTCCATAACGTCGCCAGTGACGGGACGTTGAAGACGGCGAGCCCATCTTGGTGGGCGATCTGACGAGGGGATGACACAGGGGATGCCCGCTCGACGACAATTTGTACAAGGCGACAATTTATCGCATCGGACTTTTCGGCTCCGGCAGACGGTGCAACTGCGGAGTTTAGGCGTTGAAGTAGATGCTCCATCCCCTGATCTCGCTTTTTTCTCGGCACCCGAGGCCGAGGCGCCCGCACTCGCTGGAGTGGAGGTAGTCTCAGGCACCTGTGACATCAGTGCGGTAGTTTGGGCGCTGTGCAGCAGTTGACTTCGAACAGGCACCTTACGATGTATCAGGATTCAGATAATAGATATTACCTGATGTCTTATTGAAGTAGTCCTCTGCAGTTCAAGCTTCGCCGAATCAGGTATAGCGTGAGCCAGAACGAAAAATAAGCGGGACCAAACATAAGATTACCCTATTAGTGGGCATCCCTAGAAGCGGACACCCAAGTAAAATTACAAAACTTCTGAAAAACCCCCAACATATCCTCTCTGCTCCTGACTATGAGGTAAGTGGTCATCTACATAAGGTAGTCTTTCCACAGATAACACTGAAGGGTTCATTTAAGCATGTCAACTCTACCAATTCCTGACCAGCAACTATATCTACTGAAACGTAGCGAGTCCTGTGAAGACTCCGATGAAGGCTTCCGTTTCGCCGGAAATCTCGTTGTGTATCGAGCAAAGGGTTCTTTATTCCATGCGATGCTGAAAGGGCGCTTATCATCATCAAACTTCGATCCAGAAAGCCTTATCAATGTTAAGGAAATTCCTACATGGGGTTATAGGCCTAGATTTTCTATCGAATTTATGCTTGCGCTTAAAACACTGCCAAACGACTGTTTTATCAAAAAGCCTAGCTTGATTAGTTACGGTCGGATCAGTGAAGGCCCTCGACAGAATTTGATCGCAAAAGACTTCCTTAAGGAAGTAAAGATATGTGAACTCTTAATACAGCGCCCACATCCTAATATTGCTGTATATCTCGGTTGTCAGGTTTCCGACGGCACAATCACAGGCCTTTACCTTAAGTATTCTCGGACGCTCATGAAAGAGGTCAACCCAGGCGCTCTTATGAAGAGAGCTCTAAGAGATACACGGGAAGCGATGAGTGACTATAGCCATATTCTCACGGGCATTGAAAGCGGCATCCGGCACCTTCGCCCATCAGGGCTGGTTCATAACGACATTAATCCAAGCAACATGATGATTGAGAACGATAGAGCAATTATCATCGATTTTAGATCTTGCCGGAAGCTAGGAGAAAGCCTAGAAGACGTCGGCCGTACATACGAATGGTACATGGAAAAATTACAGCAGTCTTTTCTTGAGAATGACTTTAACGCCTTGGAGGAGATTCTCATTTGGCTTGGTGTTAGTTCAAAAGAATTTCAATTTGATATCTAGGAATCTCGATACACAGAGAGCTGCTATGAAGACAATGTTATTTGTGAGGTGGCAGACCGACTGGGAATAACGTTACCTATTATCTAAGTCTGAGCATGAAGGTAAGACCAACATTCTTTCAGGTTGAAAACATCACATGGCTCGAGAGCTTTTCATCTCAATTCTAAAATGATTCCTTTACGTTTCTTTAAGGATTCTGTACAGGGTTTGTGTCTAGTTTGAATCTAGATTAGCTTTAGCCTCTTCACAGCCACTTAAGCCAAAGGACCACTATAGTCGAAGGATAGGTAAGGCCACAATTTGGTGTACATTTGCGAAAAGCAATGGAGATCCAAAAGTATTACGAGCAAGAGAAGAGTCACAACCAGAGGCCATTCAGCAACTGGACAGGGACAGGTTCAATCTTGGGGAATGCGGTGGCAAACGATAGATCGCACATACTCGGAAATTTTTACTACTGAGATACTGTAAAAACAGTGGAAAAAAAACCATGAAAACAAAAACATACAACAGTCAGGATTCGCATGTGGTCACCCACCATACTACTAACTGACCGGCGTGTGGCTTAAACGCAGAAAATAGTCGGGTGGGTGTCGCCCGTGGGATAGAATGGTTGACCCAACTACCTTACCACTAGACTCGACGAGCTTTTTTTTTTAGTTCCCCGAAAAACACAGTATGATACATCACATGGACAGAAAAAAATGATCTGGCTTTTTAATTGTCTAATAAGACAAAACGCTCGTTGGTGGTCAACCCGTCCACCTGCCTGTATACTCCTCTAAGTTATCACTTACCTCTAAACCCCTTCTTATGTGAGCGGACTAGTACTCTGTGGTTTGTTACGATCATTAAGATCACATCGAAACATAAGGAACGCCGCTCACTCGTCCCTTGTCTGAGTGATGGCTTGGAGACTCTATCTATATCCACATTGATTAGGAGAAGCTGTTCTGACAACTAAGCTTGCATGGGCGCTGATTAAAGCTCGAAGTCGATTGGGGGTTTTTTTTGTATCTAGAGGGCTTTTGATACTTGTGCTTTTCCTACGGAAGAAGGGTTTCTAGATAATATAAGAAAAAAGGACAGAGAAAATCTTGTACACTCCAGGTGATTAAAGGTTTCCTTCGTATTTGGTTACCTGAGAAGACTTATACGAGGATAATGTCAGACCCAGCAGTTCCGTGAGACTCTGCGAAGGGATTTTGGTGTAATATTGGCTACATTTTTAGGCGTCAAGGATGCAAAAAATTTAGCAGACAAAAACACAGAACAGTCAGGACCTTTTCGTCCACTTCAACTTTATATTATATCATTATCAATAGAAGTACATTATCATAACCCTGGAGGATCAAGCAACGAGACCCGAGGCCATACCACCCTTAGTACAGGCGACACTTAGCTCGGGGTTATTAGGCCCCGTACCCATAAAGAATTGCTGGCGTAGCATGGCGCCTGAAAGGCGGTCCGTGTCGTGTTGCGTATCTCGCTGAAACACTCTTTCTAGGAACCAAGGGCCGAACGGAGCAGAATTCGTATCCTCTAATTGAAGCTCCATATAGTAACTGACCAGAGTCTCGTACTGGCCACCGGCCAACTTAACCAAAATCGAAGAAAGATCGGGCAGGTACCATGGTAATCTTATCGCAAGGGTTGTAAGTTCACTGAGAAAAATTGTCATGCAATTACTACCAGAGTCGTTTAGTATTTTGATTGTAAAATATTAGCCATCTCCTCCTTCAAGAATTGGAATACGCATACGAGCGTATATCTAAATTTATTAAAGGCTTGCGAGATAAGGGGAATCAAGAGAAAAGAGCTTACTTCGTGCATTTGAGAGATCGGGTTAAACGGATATTGTGATTTCTGAGCAAACTGATGATACACTCGCCCTCCGCACTCAAGGAAGGACGGTTTCCCTCCGGCACGGGATTCCTCGAGACTAGCAACGACCCGGCCATCTGAGACACGTATAGTGTCGCTCAACGTGAGAGCACCTTTCTCGTAAAGGTCTATGATGAGTTGCACATTTATGACTTGGTTTTCGACGTATAAAGAATCGCTTGGGTTAAGCATACGCTTGAGTACAGCAACCCTGTCTTGAACAGTGTAAGGTGGGCGGGGCGGGAACGTTATCACTGGCGCTTTAATACGGAGCGGATCTTTAAAGGGATCTTGATTTTCGGAATTCATTTTGAGTTGAGAGAATTACTTTAGGGACCTGACCTGATAAGTCGCGCTATAGAATAGAGATGAGGAGAGTAGAGTAAAAGAACTGTTGGAGGAAATGACTTGATTATGACTCGATGACGCTAAACCGGAAGTGGTAAGACAAAACTCAAATTCATGACTAATATTTAATATCTGTTAAAGGACCGATTCCCAATTTAGCTTAGTGCATTATTAGTCAGATTCCTTGGTTTAGTATACCGCTATTTACTACTACTTGAATACACACACACAACATTCTTGAATACTCTGTTCCCATTTGCTCGCACGAATCCACTATTCAGTCTCATTTGACAATATCCAATATCTATCTATTTAATTAACTTAATTCCCTACCAAGTGGTCCACGCCCCGCCACCTGTAGACTCTGTGGCACGCTCAAGAGCAATTTTCTGGAGATCTTCGAAATTCATCCTTAAAGTTCAAATCTAGTACAATTTGGTAGAGAAAAAAAAAAGATGCTAGAAAGAAAGAATAGCCCCTACTTATAGTAGTAAGTGTTGCTCACTTGTCCTCTCGACCTCACCCCGAGCTCACCCTGCTCACCTAAATCACCCACCCTCACACTAAGGGAGATTCTGTTGCTGCTTTAGGTTGAGCCGGGTGCGAAGGACTCACCCAAGTATTCAGCGCGTAGTACATGTGGCTTAAGTACGGCTGAGCGGACGGGAAGCCCTGTTCTCCACACCCTGTGGTCGTATGTGGCAGAAAAATTACAAAAGTGGGTTATACCTACAATAGGTGTCTACTCTTTGAAGCTTTCTATTTCAGAATGTAAGGTCTAGATATTACCGAAGTTTCAAGGTAAACCATAGTTGCTGATGAAAGTTCTGAGGGGGCATTGCACGTTTGCTTTTCGAGCGGGGGATTGACCTTGAGATGATTACGTGAGACTTGGGACCTGTATTGGAAGGGGGTAACTACGTTTACCCCTCTACCGGATCAATAGTTATTCCAGTAGATTTTCTTCACTTTCCCTACCGCTTTACTTACCGCTTGACCGCCTTACTTCTTAATTATCTCTACGGAGTATATCTTAATACTATTACCATTCCAACTACCATATTCATTCCATTCATAACATTCCAATGGATTATAGCTCTGAATCTGAAGTCGAATTTGAGCTCTATATAGAGCCAGATTCTATTGAATCTATTGAATCCCCTTCAGTTGAATCCCCCCTGATGGAACCTATATTACGCGCATTCCCAATACTACCCAACCAGTTAAAATTGAATGCTCCATATAGGTTGAAATAAACACATATACTGATACAGTAATAAACAAAATAAACTATGTAAACCAGAATAGAAAACACACTGAATACAGAACTGTAAAATTAGGCAGATGCGACCAAAGGAAAAGTTGGGAGTTAAGTTGAGATACGACCGTGGCCGGCTTTCGGCTAAATAGTTATTCCATAATGCTGGCAGAAATATTGGCAGAACTAAATTGGTGCCTGACAGTGCCTTAAAACCTTGATAATCAAGTAAGGGGGGTAAACGTAGTGAAGGGGGGTAAACGTAGTTGGGCCCTATTGGAATGGTGAATCAGAGTCAAGCGAGGGTGCAAGTTTGACAGGCCAGCTTTCGCGGCAGCAGCCACGTAACTCATGAAATGATGGCCGAAATGACCCCACTCGCATAAAGTTTGAGAACAGGGGTGTTCCCGAGGGCGGAGAAACTAGTGGCCAATTGGAAGAAGATTTCAAAATGGTGCTTACTGTAAGATGCTGTAGATACGACTGCTCGCGGTAGAGCTGGCATAATGGCGTCTACAACGAATAAATTCTTTACTAATATGGGATTTTAAGCGGCATCATGAAACATGCATGCTCTGAAATCGAAAGATATTCCAGCAAAATATACGCATGTTGAAGCTTCGCTTGCTCTTCAGATAGACATCTCGATCGTTACATGAACAAAGGAGTGAAGGATGATTATGGATTCGGGCTCTCTGGTCTATCCCGATGGCTCGGGACTTAGCGGAACAGTCTTAGGTGGAATAAATTTTTACAGAGGGCATTCGAGGATATAAGGAAATGCACGGGCCTACGCTTATGGTGGAGAAATTTTATTTCAAAGGGCCAATCTCTCAAGAGGTGGTTTAAATATTTATGTGTTAAACACGTAATGAGTTGTTGAAGAGGCAACCGGGTGGTTATTGGTTCAAGTTGGGAATTATGTCAGCTTTGCGATATGATATCCACAAATGCTGCCAAGACGCCGTGTTGGCTCCGCTTCGTTGGCCTTTAGGGCTGAGGCTGGATCCCTGAAAGTTGGGCGTTGAAAGTTGAAACACGAACCCAGCAGGGGGATATTATAGTTAATGAGGAAAACGATTCTTAAAGTTGTTATGCGGCATAGGGCTAAATCTATGTATACATACAAGCGACCGCCGTTAGGTGCTAGTCTTGCCCTCAATTCCCTTTCTCCCATCAGCCGTAACAGCAGAAGATTCGGCCCTGTCTCTGCGCTAACAACGCATCTAGCAGTGCGCAGCAGGTTTGCCTCGCAGCATGTTTGCCTTGCAGCATATTTGCCTCGGCCACGCCTACAGTAGCTCCAACGCTAATTCGAGGCGCAACCCCCAGCCAAGCTCTCAGCCTCAGTCAGCTCTACCTAGTAACAATCATCCTACTATTAAGAACTCTCCACAGCATTGGGCCTGCTGAGTTTTCTTCGAAACGCAAGGGTGCTAGCTCTGTGGAACGCTCCTGACCCGCAGTTTTCAGGTTTCTTCCATTCTTCCATTCCAAGGTTCTTTTTTTCTCGCAGGCAATAGTCTTTATCAAGACAGAATACAACTGTAATCATAATGTCGAACTCGAGCTCGAATCACTTCACCTGCCCGTCAGGCGGCACCTGGTACGTGTGCCCGAATGCGCCGCACTTCGTCGGCTGCTGCTCCTCGGACCCATGCACAAACGTCGACGCAAACAGCACCTCGCCATGCCCCGACGTCTATTACGCCTCCTTTGACCCCTCCATCTTCAACAGTATCCTGCCCAACTCGTGCATCGACTCCGCGAATGGGCACTGGTATACCTGCAACTACACGGACCCACCCTTCCTCGGCTGCTGCTCGAGCAATGCTTGCACAAACAAGACGGGGTGTTCGGCTGATGATTTACTTGCTGCTGCGTGGAGCTCGGCTAGTCGGAATCAATTCACCCTGTTCCAGGACGAGGGCACAGGCGATAACGATGATGAGGGTAGTGGCGGAGGGGGTGGGTTATCCGGCGGCGCGATCGCGGGAATCGTGGTTGGGGTTGTTGCGGCGCTGGCGATTGTCGGAGCGCTCGTATGGTTCTTCATGCGGAGAAGGAACAAGAAGGCTGCTGCGATGAGTGGGCACGGGCACACGCTGTCTGTTGTCGAGGGCGAGCATCAGAGGACGTATCCATCCCCGGCGCCGCCGTACCATAGTATATACCATTCTCCTTCCGGATTGGATCTATCCAAGTCCACTAGCTGATATTTATTGCGTTTATTTAGGCTCGCAATTCTCCAGCCCCGCCAGCACGACAACAGGGGCAGGAAAGGACCCGAGATACATGTCAACTTCCTCAGCAGGCATCAGCCTGCCCTCGCTCTCTCCCGGACTACCTTCAGAAAGCGGACGGCCAATTTCAGAATTCTACTCGAATAGTACCGGGAGCGAGGATATGTCGCAGCAGAAATGGGCGCCGGGCCAGAGCTACGGGCTCGGTGTGCATGGAGCACAAAAGCCAGAGCCGATACAGGAGTTGGACAGCAATGTGGCCGAGGTGCATGAGCTGGATGGACTCGGAGGAAATCGGTCGTGATGAGGCCTCGACCGTGGGGGGTTGGATAGATTGTGCATCGATAGAAATTGTGAGTTAGCAATTTGTATATCCGTGTTATACCTAATTCAAAAGTCGTATTCGCATGGCTTGAACGAACCCGGAAACTACACCTTGTTCACAACGACAGTCGCAGGGTCACTCTCTCTACTAGTAACCTCCTATAGGGGATGATAATCAAATGGGGGTCTTACCGTATGCCTGGATAAAGCTTAGGTTCTTGATTCGGCCGCTCACAGCAAACATATATACTCTAGCCATTCGTGGATATCGACACTTGATGGCTCCTTTTTACCACCCTAGAAGCAGTTTATATTTCTAGCAGTCCACAGCATAAGGGTCCCCAACCCCTTTGTATGTCGTCAAGTACGGATACCTGCAATGTGCACGTTCCCATGTAACACCCTCGACAAGATTGTCGTTGACAAACTTTGCGCCGGTCAGTCTGTCAGGGGCAACACCATATTTACAGTATGCACACCTTGATGGCTGGTTCTCAATGGGGGTGAACACCTCTGTTTTCCCTTCTTAGAGGCAACGAATTGCTTTTGGTTTCTGCTTTCTTCCATCTCCAATTAGTTCTGCAATATGTACAGCATGGATGGATGGATGGATGATTTCATTTACGCTGACCCCTCGCGAGTTGGTTTACTTAACTAGACCAAAAACGAATCCGTTCTTAGCCTAGTGGATAAGGTTTATAATCAACTTCGCGAACGATATGCAGCCTCTATTGTGTTGTAAATACATAGATTTTGATCTACTTTTTTCTTGCTTGTACCAAATTTCCACGGTGAACTTTGAGCCTCACGAAGGCCTGTGATTGTCTCCACTTTAACCTGTGAAAAGGCTGGGGTAACTCCACTACCCCGGGTTAATGCGTCTCCCCGAGATAACAAAGAAGAGAAGACAGAGAAAAAACTGATTTCGAATATTGTTGTAACAAACAGGCAGCCTAATGACGAGAACGGTAATGGGACAGGACAGGCCGTGACGAGGCTCTAAGTTCATGTCAGGAAGTGGATCAGTTGTTGTATACTGCATATCGCTTTGGCGAGGGGTCAGTGTAAATGAATACTACTACTACTACTACTACTACTGCTACTACTACTCCTACTATTACTACTACTGCTACTGCTACTGCTGCTGCTGCTGCTACTACTGCTGTAACAAACATCGAACAGGAGAGACTGTACCGAGGTAACTGCAGCAGAGATTTGCTGCCCTGAGATATCCAAGAGATCTGTGATCGACTAGAGTGCCACGTGGCGACGGAATCGATTTTGTATGGTTGAAAGACATAATACCCTTATTCAAGAAGATAAAGCTCCTTCGCATGCGCATCATTTCAACAACACTTCTTTGATATATCTGGTGTTCAACAGCTTCTTTGGCCAGGAAAATCGCCTGATTTGAATGCTATTGAGCCAACATGGTTTTTTTTTACCCCTTAGTGGATTCTGCGCGCAGCAACCCCAACGCTCTGCCCTTCCCATGTGTGGATGTGGGTGGAGCGCAGCAAGCAGATGGAATATAAATTGAATGTTCAGGATACAGCTTCCCACCCACGTACTCTGAGAGATCTGCAAACAGACACACTTGCCGAGCACGATGGAAGCGTTATCAAGTCCATTCCAGAACTTCGGTCAACCAACCGATTTTCCCGACCTTATGGATACCCTGCACTACGAAGATATGGTCTCTGAATTTGCTTGAGGTGAGAGCTCATCCGTTGAAGGGCTGGAGAGTATCTCGAGTGAGGAGAGCCTGGTGTTCAACCTTGAGCAAGCCACTGACCTGCCGGTCCTGCCTCTAAAGTAAGCTAACCAACACCGCCCTGTCCTTGAACAAGCAATTGCTGATCCTCCCTCCACAGCTCAGAGTAGCCGCAAGATCATGACCAACTACACAGAGACAATGATCCCCATCTTATGGTCGACCTCTACGAACAGGAAGCAAGCCAGCTAAATGAGATGCTTAATACTACGTCCTCGAAACAAAAGCCACAGCAATCTTCCAATAATTTCCAATGCTGGGATCATGGCTGTAATGGCCGCCAGTTTTCCTCCAAAAGCAACCTCATCTGATACCAGAAGGAGAGATCCAAAACCACTACCAACTTCACATGCCTCTTGTGTGTAGCAGTATTCACTCGAAGCTTCGCACGGGATACGCACCTAGCTCGTCAGAGCTGTAACCGGATCTGCTGATACTCTAACGGTCGACCACAGCCAAGCTGGCTTGCGGTTTTGAGCAACCCAGACTTGGTACGAATTATCACTTAGAGGAGGACGGCATGAAAAAAAAATTGAAGGTTATGGGCGGCGTCACCAGAGTCCGGGCCATGGGTTGTTGGACCGGCAATATGAATATACCCCAAGACGAAGCAGAATAGACAGAAATCGATTTTTTGAAAAGTTTTTACAATTTATGCCCAGTACAGTACAGTTCGGAGTAACAGAATTATGTATTGCTATTACGCAATCACCAATCACGCTCGCCTGATTAATCTCCCGGTCCGTAGTTAGGCGCTCCACTTATATAATACCCACTATCTCCAGCCACAAAAGGCTTAAAAGACGCCACCGGAGAGGATGTATAGCCACCTAATCAGGGCACTGGTTGATCCTGCCTCGGCTCGGGTCGATCCGAATCCTGGGAGGAAGATAGTGTGGAACCTGAACCAGAAAAGGTACGCGAAGGATGAACCGGGGCTGAGCTATTGAGCCTCAAATCTTGGAGGTGAGGAGAAAGGAGGGCAAGGAACAGGGGATTGCAGGAATGCAGGAATATGGGCGTGAGGTGGAGCAGGAACTGAGGAGGGGTCATTAGTCACGTCTCAAGGTGGACTCCACGAGTCTACCATATTCTCTGATCAGTCTAGAAGCTAGCGGCTAAAGAGAATTTGCCCGTTGAGGCCAACTCAGCTTAGTGCAGTCAATCACTGTCATTATGTCTTGCCAGGAAAAAAATTGGGTTGAGAAAACGCCAAGACTAATACTAGCCCTAAACAACAATACCCCATCTCTCTTCCTGTATCAATCTCTCTTCCGGTCGAATATTGCCATGCCCTGCGTAGCTTCCCACTCGGTACTATAGTTTGGTTTTACGTTGCTTCAGTCCATCCTCACTGTCAGCTCGACTTCTGCAAATTTGAAGCTTCTATGGAGACTCCCCGGTCTCAAGGGGCAGGCCCCGCGGCCGACCCTGACCAGAGTAAAGAGGCACCACCGATCAAGGAATGTCCACCCTCTGAGACGGACTCCAGTATCAACCTGGTAAGTTATTCTCAATTGCACACTACATCTAGCATAAACCAGTGTTCATCTAAGCCTCCCACCTCACCCCCATCTGCTATTGACACCTTTAGGTTACCTGGGACGGCGAAGATGATCCTGACAACCCGAAGAACTGGTCGTTCAATATGAGATGGAGGATGACAGCCATCGCCTCAACCTTTGCCTTCCCATCTCCACCTCCATGACTGCTCCCGCCCTGACGACTATCGCGCAAGACCTGCACATCCACCATGCCTTCGAGCAGATGATGAGCCTGTCGATCTTCCTCCTGGCCTATGCCTTCGGGCCCCTGTTCTCTGCCCCGATGTCTGAGGTCTATGGGCGTCGCATCATCTTGCAGGGATTCAATCTGATATATCTCGCCTTCAATACCGCTTGTGGATTCGCGCAGACCGGACCCCAGCTGATTGTCTGTCGCTTCTTTGCTGGGTTCGGTGGAAGGTGGGTGGCTACCCTGCCTTGTTCGGCCTCATCGACCTGCATCCATGATCTGATTCGTCCATAGTGCAGCAAGTGTCATTGCCTCTGGCATTCTGGGTGATCTTTGGCGTAAAGAGGAGCGGGGACTGTCCGTCAGTATCTACACCATGGTCACCCTGATGGGGCCGACACTGGGCCCCCTGCTGGGCGGATTCATCACCTAGTACAGCTCCTGGCACTGGACCTTTTGGAGCGTCAGCATCGCCGACGGCCTGTTCCAACTGGTCGCCACTTTCTTCTTCCAAGAGACCTACGCTCCGGTGCTATTGGGTCGCAAAGCCGCCCGACTACGCAAGGAGACCAGCAACACCTCTCTTCGGACCAAATGGGAGGAAGAGGACCTGAGCCTACGCAAGAAGCTGTAGGTCGCCTGCACACGGCCGTATATCCTGCTGGCCACGCAGCCTATATTCCAGGTCCTGACCCTGTATATCTCCTACCTCTTCGGGCTGGTTTACCTGGCACTGGCAACCTTTGCCGAGATCTGGACCACCGAGTACTACCAGTCGATCAGTATCGCCAGCTTGAACTACCTCGGCCTCACCGTCGAGTATATTATTGGCACCTAATCCTGCGCTATGCTGATCGGCATTGTCTACCGATGTCTGGTGGCGCGCAACAATAGCACCGCGCAGCCCGAGTTCCGCCTCCCGCTGCTGCTACCGGGCGCCCTGATGGTCCCCATCGGGCTGCTGTGGTACGACTGGAGCGCCCAGCACCACCTGCATTGGATTATGCCAGGTATCGGGATTGCGTTGTTTGCCATTGGGGTCAAGTATGGCACGCAGTGCACCCAGCTGTACGCCTTGGATGTGTATCCGACCTACGCGGCGTCGGCGAGTGCGGGGGCGCAGTCGTGACGGGGTTCACTTTCTCGCTATTTGCCCCGTATCTCTAACGACAAGCTGCACTACGGTTGGGGAAATTCGGTGCTTGCTTTGGTCGGGTTCGTGATCGGGGTCCCGGCCCCAATTCTGCTCTGGATTTACGGGCCGGCGTTGCGGAGGAGAAGCCAGTACGCGACTGGGGTGTAGATTTCACAGTACGCCTTCAGATCGGTTAATAGATATACCATAGACGAGTCATCATTAAATCTCATAATTTCTATGTTTCTTCTCGAGTTTTTACCATCTAAACGTTGGTAAGAAAAAACACACTTCTCTCTTACGAGCTCCCATAAAAATTAAAAATCATCATCAATCCCCATGAACGACCGGCAGTATTCCAACTCTCGCAGCCGCTGCGCCTCGATCTGCTCCCACGTCCACTCACCTCCTGCCTTAGTAGACGGCGTGAACTCGAGCTCTGCACCTACGCTTCCCTCATGATTCTTTACCTCCGCAACAGTCACCGGAGGCTTAGGAGGCACCTTTCCCCCGCTGCGAGTAATATTTCCACGGGAACCGTCAACCTCCCCTTCTTGACACAGTACTTGCTCATCGCCACGGCCGCGACCATGCTTTTCCTGTTCTTATTCCGCTTGCCCGTCTTCACGAAATGCGTCAGCAAATAGATCCACTGGTGATCCCAGGCCACCACCTGCGACCGCATCTCGTACCGCTCAAATGGCTTGATCTCCTTCTTGAAGCTGTAGTACACGCCGCCCAGGGCGATGAAGATCGGCGCCGGTTGCCGAGGCGGGTGTCAGTACTCGGCTGCGGCCTTGATGGAGAGCTTGGCGTTGATCTCCGCGCTGATCTTCTCGCGCCCGGACCAGTAGAAGTAGGCCATGGGCGTGATGCGCGAGGCGTCCAGGTCGGCGTAGTAGGTGCTGTCAGTGCTAGGAATATCTCTAGTATTGAGATTATCAGCTAATTACCTAAGGTCTTGACTGCCAAAAAGCATTCAATCAAGTCTCGGGTCTTGAATCCAAATTTATCAATTTACATCTTCAATGAAAATATGATTAACATATGATATATTGCAGATTGATTAAATACAGTACTGTATTCATCATTTCGCTGGTTTATAGAAGCTTGTGTCTAAATATGTTATAAATCAGCCTCACCATGAGAGAGAGTTATGAAGTGGAATCGATTTATAATTTACGTTTTTGCAGACAAGGTAGTTGTTGGAACGAATATCAGCTGACATACCAAGATCATGTGATCTTGGCATGGCAGCTACTATATCTTCTTTCACCTGAGCATTTTAGAATGACACTTCACTTTTACCTAATATGCATACACCTATTATATACGTACAGAAACGATATCAATAGCTGTCTGCTTCGGTAATAACCTAGTCAACCGACACTGATCAGTAGACGTACAGATCAGGAAATACGCATCTACGAAGCTCGAGCGCGTTGAACAGTCTTTAAAAGCTGTTTTTCCAGATTCGCTAAGTCCTTGCCATATCTTAGTCGAAGGAGAAGATCGTGATAATTCGAGGCTTGAACGATCGCCGAGAATTACACCATCTTGCTAAGAACCCACTTCATAGAAGCCCCAAGGTCTATGAAGAACGTCCAAAAACACTGAAAAACACTGAAAAACACTACCATACTTCCCTCTCATTTTCCTCTATTCCTTTTAAATCCCTTCATTTTTCTTATACTTGCATATCCCTGACCGCCCAAATCCCCTCATCCTATTTCTCTTACTTATATATCCTTGACCGCTTAAATCCCCTCATCCTCGCCCTCCAACCTTGCATATCCCTATATTCAAAATCCAGGAAACCTAAAAGTGACCTATCTCATATACTACTACACCATCTTAACATTTCTGAAAAACCTATACTGCTTTATACTATGTCTGCACCCCCTTCAGCCGCTGAATCAGCTTAATCAATCAACGATGACTATGATTAGGAAATCGATTTAGCGACAGCCATAAAGCGAGAGATAAATGACTACATTGAAAAGAACATGCATTTCGATGACAGAACATCAGATTATAACCTATAGGCAATATACTGCGACCTTTTCGAAAACTAAGAACCAGAACACTTTAAGCAAGTCGCACCTCTAAGATGAACAGTATTACGGACGAATCTACTTTAGCATGGAGTATTTGTTCCACGATTTGGTCGAGGAATAGCAATTTACACCCTACTATCCATAGTAGCCCAACAAGAGGAGTTCCATAAATAGATAGACGAAGATATTGAAAGCTTCTTCACGGAATTTAAGATGCCAATGATTACTAGAGCACTAAGACACCGCCTTAACCTAACCTGTACTAGATTGAAGCAGCCTTTATAAGGTACTCTGCCCCCATAAGCGGACCGCCTGATTACACCAAAAATCAATACGTCCGCCCCTAGAAGTAGTCATCCTGACCAAGGAAGCGACAAATCCTTGCCAGAGGACACTCTAGGCGTTCCTAATCAGTTTTCTCCAGAGACTAGCCCATTTATCTTTAAAACCAAGAAGTTGAAGACTGATTTTACTAAAGAGATCAACTCTATGTCAAAGATTTATACTAAGAAACAGAGATATAGTGGGATAGATAATAGCAGCTTTAACTAGAAACTCAATATCTTCTATACCATCTATAAAAGAGTTAGGATAACACTAGACGGTTATAACGCAGTATTTCCAATAATGCTCACCGGAATCGCTGAAGATCATTACTATAGCAGTGATTTACCTTCGTGAATATTCCAAGAAGCGTGTAACCACCTACGCCAATTCTTTAAAGGTCCCGAATTCTACCACTAAAACTTGATCAAATAGAACGACATTATACTATAAAGAGTGATAAACGATAACTCTAACAGCCTAAACTTAATCTATCAGAATTTCTAATCTATGCTTAGTGACCTCCTTAGAAAGCGACATGGTCTTTACCTAGAACTCAGGAGCAATATGAACCTCATCAATAAGCTCATCACAGCCTATAGAAGAGTCCTAGTGTGTAGTAACACACTTTCTGATCTACTAGAAGACCTCGTGGTATTAATCAATAAACTATAGTCATCAATCACCACCTAGGAGAAAGAAAACCCCGAGAGGTAAGCAGCATTCGCCTCAGAAGAAACATTCTACACCAATAGACGATACTATAGAGACGGCAATCAAGGAAGAGGACTCACCAGGAATCAGACCAAAAGAAACCTATAGGGAAAATGCTATATCTACCAAAAACCATTATGTCGATCTTGGCGACACACTAAAGAAGAACAAAAGCAATCAAAACAAAATTTCCTTTAAGGATTCAACCAGAATAAGGAGAAAAACGGCGATTTCAACAGGAGATATAGGCAATACATGCTCTATTACGAAGGAAATGACGAAACCGAACAAGTTGAAGCTTTCGAAGCTCTCTTGGCTGACGCTCAAATAATTAGCCTCCAGACCAACAAAACAGACCCTAATGAAGACGAATATGATCTAATCGACAGCTTCTTTACTTCATTTGGCCAAATTAATGCTAAATAGGGTATGGAAATAAGCTTAGAGCTCTCTAATAAAGCATTCTTATACTGGTTATCAGAGAAACCATCGCCTATATAAGGAGACACTCCGCTATAAGACATTGACCTATTCAGCTACACCACCACGCCCACCAGCCGATATAATTCCTAAACATTTATGGGAATCATGATCGATACCAGCGCCTCAAGAAAATCTATAGCCGGAGTTAGTCAGTTCTAAGCGCTTCAGAGGATTAAGAACGTCAAATTGGATCCCTCCATAGCTGGCGAAGTTAATGTCTAATTCGGAATTAGAACAACCTCTTTAATCGGATCAGCAAAAATCTCTACTCCTATTAGCAACGTTCAATTCCATATCGTTAATACAGACACTCCATTCCTGTTATGCCTAGCGGACATAGATAACCTTGGAGTATACTACAACAACCTTAGGAACATAGTCATCACTTTAAAACCAGGCAAACAAAATGAAATACCTATCATTCGCCGATTTAGACACCCCTTCATGCTATAGGACGAACCCCTCTCCTTATACCTAAGCACATCGTTCAGCATAAACCCTTGCTTCCTGACCAATACTAAGCTTAGACAACTATACCATCGCTTTAGCCACCTATCAGTTAATCGGCTCAAAAAGCTACTTTAAAACGCTGGACATGAACCTAATATAGCAGCTTTAGAGCATCTCACCAAATTTTGCGCATTCTGCCAGAAGTTTGGGAAATCTCTAGGTCAATTCAGGTTCACCCTTAAAGACCTAGAGGACATCAGATTCAACTATAACATCATCGTCGACATCATGTATATTGCTAACCAGCCCCTCCTACACATCGTTGACGAAGCAACCCGCTTTCAATCAGGCCGATAGCTAGACGATATCAGCGCCAAAAACACCTAGGATAAGCTACGATCATGCTAGATCGACACCTATTTAGGCCCTCTAGACTAGATCACCCATAACGCCGGAAAGAACTTCATCAGCAAGGAATTCAAGACTTATGCAAAAGCTATAGGCATAAACACAAGAAGTGTGCCTATTAAGGCGCATAACTCGATTGGCATGGTTGAACGGTACCACGGCCCCCTACACCGCGCCTATCAAATCATTATTGCTGAAATCCCTGGAATCGATCGAGAAATCGCTCTCCAAATGGCCTTTAAAGCAATCAACGACATAGCTGGACCAGGAGGTTTAGTTCCTATACTACTTGTCTTCGGTGCATACCTGTCGGAACATGGATATTGCAATCATGCAATACCATAAACCCGGAACGGAACAAACAGACCCCCGAGTCACGGGGGAACAACTATATTAGGAACTCAAGTAGCTACATGAATCGAACACATTTCACACCACTTTGCACAACGTATATACTAAGAATCTAGGACGAACCATACCCTTTTCCAGTGTATATAGTGCAACGTGTGAACCCTGTCCTTTCAACGTAGTTGATCGACACTGATCAGTTGACGAGCTGAATCAGACTTGGAGGTTATATCACTAAGTTATTGTGAAAAATCCTCAAAACCACGAAAACTCGTTACGACGATAAGCCAAATTCGATCGAAGAAAATACGATAAAACACCGTTAAGAGCATGAATTGGCACCGGCAAGCCCATTCACTCTTCCAAAAACACAATTTTCAAGTTTGATTTAGAAAACTACACCCTAGTTTCTACCTTTCAACACCTCCTTTACGACTACTTTTCGAAGGACATTCGACTAAAACTTTTCCTTTTCGCATTGGAAAAACTGGGGATACTCAAAAACCCCTAAAAATCTTCCCCTCTTTGAATTGTGGGACACCAGAACCCACTGGTGACTTGTTCAACTTCTCCACTTGTGACTTGTCCGGCTCCTCCACGGATCCACGCTGGAATACAGCCAATCTCCCCCTAGCATCACCTGCAGGAGCTATATGGCACCACCAGCATACCAGACACCACAGTCAATCAAATCTGCACACCGTGAACGAAAGCGTAACAACCGAGGGCAATTCGCACGCCATTCCCCAATCACGGAAGAAGACCTGACCCCACGAGACGACGACGAAAGTTCAGATCCACTCACCATCATTATGGACGGAACACCGTCGTATAGACCACGCACTCGGGGCAGCTATACACGAGCAAGTATGCCCGGATCATACACGGAACACACTAGCCCTACACCCGCTTTTAACCAGAGCAGAGGCCAAGGGTACCCCGATGAACATGTAGATAGGGACCAGACCTACCGAGAGGCGCACGAATCATGGGGCAACATGACACAAGAGGAGAAAATCAGATTCTACCACAGAAATGGTTTTGACCCACGGGAATGTAACTGGGATCAGCGTGAGGAATATATAACCACACGATTTACCTACTATATAACCACGGGAGTTATGGACCGCGGACTCTGGGCCGACTTCTAAGCAGACTTCAAGAACTGGACCGAGGAGGACTTTACGAAACTCGAACGAAACACCCTCCGATTAGTGTACCATACACTCATCCAGCGCGGAGTTTATGTGAGATGGACACCAAAACTGGCCGACTCCCTAACGGAATGCCTTATAAGGGAAGAAGAA